GCTGTCTTTTCTACATCCCTTACTGTTACTAAAGAGCATCTCATGTGCTCCATGGCCAAATAAGTAGCCGGTTCTCCTTTGTGTAATTTGAAATAAGAATGATCACATATAAGTTGTGGAACAATGAAGGAAAAACTACGGGGTAGCGCAAACGTTCCAACACAAGTCGTACGCAACAAGGCACATCAAGAATAAATTGAGCCCCCATTTTTTCCCCTTCCCTCCGGGCCTCCGCCCACTCCGTCCCCCTCCGAGACTTCAACCTCCTTCTCCGAATCCATTCTTTTGCTCACGCAGATTCTCTTTGGCGTCTTCATTATATTTCGTACTCTACCCTTTACTCATTATTCCGCTGCAGACGAGCAGTTGCAAACCCCAGAAATTCAATCAACGCAGTCAAGCCTTCTTGTGAGTGGAAGCTTGCCATAAAATTTTCTCAAAGCTCACAAAGGAGCTCGGATCTATCATTCCAGTTCACCATGCCCCTCCCTTCTCGCCTCTTTCCCATCACAAAAGTTGTATTCGACGCCATCAATCTAGCTGGAACCAAAGGTATCATTGTCGGAGGTGCAGCCGCTCATATGTTAGGGAGTAAGCGTGTCACTACTAGGGTAGGAATCTTGTCACTTGATGCTGCAATGGAAAACTTACTCGTTCCTTAGGATGTCGACATTAATGTCTTATCCTTCCCCGAATTCCCCGAGGATCCCATGATTAAAGCCCGTTTTCCTTTCGACGATGATAATTCAATAATGAAAATCACCTACTTGGATTCAAAGGAGGCCGTCAAGGCCGACGTTGCCACCCGACGAGCACAACATATCCCCTTGCTTTTGAAATATTCCCTGACGGACCCAAAAACAAACTTCACGTACGCCAACTATCAACTCCTCCTTGCCGACAAAATTAGAACTTTGGCTGAGCGTGGAGAAAAGAAAGACAAAAAGCGAGAGACTGATCTTGCTGACATCAAATTCTGCATTGAAGAGATGTTTATGAGAGACGAAAAAATGCCTGAGGACCTCAAATTCTTGTACTCTGTGGAGGATTGGGGTAAAGTCCTGAAATATCTGAAAGGTGAGGAGGAGCACGAGGGGTACCTGGTTATGTTGGAGAAAATGAATATCATCTAGCCTCGCGACGAGCAATAAACGATCCCAAAATCACTTTTTATAAAATTCATTTGCTTTTTATTTAATCGCCGGCTACGTAAGACGTTTGCATCGCTTTCGTCATCGTTCTGGGGCCCTCAAAGGCGCCCACGGTGGAATGCTTTGTTTGTACGTCTGCATCGCTTTTGTCATCGTCGTGCGCCGAACCGCTTCCGCGGTTCGGCGACGAGCAGCCAATAAAGGATCGCAAAATCTTGGCAAAATCACTTTTTTAAATAGAAAACAAAACATTTCATTTTTAGCGGGCTTTGCGCCCGTAGGCACTATAGCCCTCAAGGCCTCACACCGCTAGCTTAACACTTTGACGTCACGTGAAGCCTTGAAGGCCAATTCTGCTAAATCCTAATTAAGATGGCCATCGGGCGGCAGATCTTAGTGTTCTGGCACTACCGAGTGCCCAGCGCCACAAGATGCCTGGCACTTATTAGAAATGGCCCAGCTCTCTCCCCCCGTCTCACATTCCTTAAAAGGAAAGATGACAGGCTGTGGGAAGGCACACTAGCATATAGTGCATGACGAACACAGGAAACAAATGCCGGTTTGGCAGAGTGGTTAATTGTACTGAATTTAGTACCCTGACCAAAGTGTCTTGTGTTCAATTCTGTATGCTCCATTTCTTTTTTAATGTATCAAACAATTACTTATTGGTTAGGTTAGAGGTTATGTCTTGCACGCCCAGATTTAAAAGCTATGCTGAAATCTTCCTTTTACCAACACCTTGGAACGTGTTGCACACCTCCTGCAGCGTTACAAACCCACCACCCCTTTACGCTTATCGGAAATTACATCGAGGGTACATATGTGAAGCAAGTTCTCGCTCAACGGATTGCCTGCGGACTGCGTTTTTCGATTGGGGTCACGGTCTCTGTTCTGGATCGCGAATCCATCGACATGAAATACATGCTCATCCTGCGTGCATGCGGCGGTGAAAGCTATCTCCTACACTTGACCGTCACTCGTTGCTCTCGCTCCTCTCAAGATCGATCGATCTCCCGAATTTGATTCCTCATCATGGACTCCTCCTCCCGCGGAGATCGATTTGCAGGAGCATGCAGCCATTAGGTCCTTTATCGTCCTCATGTCTCCTCTGGTCTTCATTTCCCATCGACTTTGGAGATCCTGAAGCGATCCGAAATGCCTCCGGTTACAAGGAATCACCAGTGCCACCGTTGGTGATGCCTTCTTTAATTAATCTCCCTGAGTTCCCGCCAGCCTTGTTCCAATCACTTCACAGTCATGTTGTTGCTTGCGATTTATGTAAATGTCTTTCTTATCTGGGAGCCTTGCGAAATCCA